GAGATGGTATTTCTGTACAAAATAAGAAATTATGACTTATTAGCCATAATGCCAACCTCAATTTTGTATTTTGGATATTTTTTTTCTTACAGTCATCTATCTACATACAATTACATAAAAGCTATCTAAGAAAGCTACCCAGTGGTAGTTAATTTATATAGCCTCAAGAAGACTATACAAAACCAATGAATGTAGTCATCCCTGAAGTTTTTCAGACAATTTTCCTAATCTTTACCATACCTTTGGAAAGGTACATTGTGAAGACATCCTAACACTTGCCTTCATAAGTTAACAGGAATAAACCTAAATAAATTACACAGAGCTAAATTTCATCAAGATATGAATAAGATTTGGTGTTTTAATTTCAAGCACCTACTCAACATGTTATCTGATGCTTTATCTGACAAATATTATCTATGATTCATAATATCATTTCAAAAAAAATCAGTTTTGTGATTGTTTTGAAAGTTTAACAATTATTATTTTAGTACTATTTAATTTCTTCATCACACAGAAGAAAAATTTTGCTGTTCATCTTACACCAATGTCAAATTAGAAATTATTTTCTATTCAATGTTCTGAGGCAGCAGATAGTCCACAATCATAACTGCCAACATTTTATAAGTACTATGCTTTATTATTTATCTCTGTCAAAATGTTTTAGAATTTGATTGTTAGTCATAAATTTGGGAAGTAATTTTCTCTAGATTTGAATTTTTATTAGCTTCTATTTTCCAGTTGTTCTTCGTTTTCTGCTTTGATCTTCTGTATTCCTATGAAGAATATTAAACAAGTTCTCCAACATAGATAATAAGATTTCAATTTTTAATGGTGCTATCACCAGACCTAAGCTCCACTGGCACTATTTCAAAATTAGAAATTACTACAGTGAACACTGAATTTACAGGTACTTTCAGCAATATAATACTCCACCAAGTTGAGGAGGGAGTGTTAATCTGCCTGAGAGGAGAAAGAAGAACACTACAGAGGGACCTGGATAGACTGGATCAATGGGCCAGGTTTAACTGTATAAGTTTCAATAGGGCCAAGTGTCAGGCCCTGCATTTTGGACACAACAACTCCAGGCAACCTTACAGGTTTGGGAAGGAGTGGTTGGAAAGCTGCCTAATGGAAAGGGACCCTGATGTACTGACAGACCAGTCAGCTGAATATGAGCCAGCAGTGTCCAGGTGGCCAAGAAGGCCAATCAGGCTTGTATCAGGAATGGTGTGGTAAGCAGGACTAGAGAAGTAATCCTGCCCCTATACTTGGCACTGGTGAGGCCTCACCTCAAGTACTGTGCTGTTTTGGGCACCTCAGGACAGAAAGGACACTGAAGTGCTGGAGCAGGTCCAAAGAAGGGCAAGGCTTGTGAAGGTCTTGGAGAATATGCCCTACGAGGAGAGACTGAAGGAACTGGGACTGTTTAGTCCGGGAAACAGGAGACCAAGGGGAGACCTTATTGCTCTCTTCAAATACCTGAAAGGTGCTTACAGCAAGGGCAGGGTTGTTCTCTTCTCACTAGTGACAGGACAAGGGGAAATGGCATCCAAGATGTGCCAGGACAAGTTTAGGTCAGATATCAGGAAAAACTTCTCTACAGAAGAGGTTGTTAAGCACTGGAATAGGCTCCCCAGTGAGGTGGGTGAGTCACCATCCCTGAATGTGTTTAAAAACCATCTTGATGTGGTGCATAGGGACATGATTTAGTGGAGGGTTGTTAATTAGGGTTGTATGGTTAGGTTGTGGTTGGACTTGATCTTCAAGGTCTTTTTCAACCTGAGCAATTCTAAGATTCTGTGATGAAATGAAGTGGAACACTGAAATTCCTGCACGTACATTACAACACAAAACTTACTAAGGAATCTACCCACCTGAATTCTTCTAACAGCTTGCTGTATACTATGAAAAAGAAATTGGGAACACTGTCAATGAAAGAAAAATTGAGTCATTTCTGACAATGAAAGTAGATAACACTCACCTCCTCCTCACAAGGAGGGGGTCATCTGCCCGAAAATAAAAAGCACTCATATAACAAAAACAGCAACTATATTTGTTCACCAAGTAACTCTTTATATGCTCCCGCATGGACCTAGGAGGTGCTTTGGAAATACCAACTGGTATTATTACCAAGTAACAACAACCAAAAAAATACATTGTTATTTTCAAGGAAAAAAGAAGGTGCACAACCGTTATAAGCATCTATTCCTTGACACACAAACAAACAAACAAAAAAAAGCATAAAAAGCATACTAAAATGCAAGACTGCTTGTTTTTTTGTTTGTTTGTTTTAAACATGCTTTCTCTAATGTCTTTGGTTATGAGAAGGCTGCCTGAAGAGCTACAGTAGATAGTCTACTACTACTGAACACAGGAAAGTGTTTGACCTCTGTTTCTCGTTTATTTTCCTATAAAAATATTTTGTGACCTGGTCTAAATTAGTGTCACCAGCTACACTCCATCTATTTCCATTCTGGTTCAGAAATTACTTATTTAAAAGAAATGACCTTGTCACAATTTCAGAACTTGGCATTCACCTGTGTAGAACAGAAGATGAAAACAGTGTAGAGAGAAGCTAAAGATAAGGACCTTCTGGAAGAACTGTTTTCTTCCTAGCAGATTACTCAAATCTGTATGTGAACGTCTAGAGTTGACTACTTAAATATTTAAGCATTAATGCTGGCAAAATAAATTTTAAAAATATATGATGCCCTTATGCTTTTTACATAATGCAATATATATATACAAATACACACAGCTTCAATAACAATTTTTTTTTTTGCTAGTCTATTATACGCAGACAACACTGCCTGGGTCTTTAAACATTACCTCTGCAATCTGCATAATTTCTATCTGCATAAAATCCAATATTCTTCGCTTTTACATGAATGAAGAACTGCAAAACACTGTTCTACTACACAAATTCTAATGATCCCCAAAATAAACAAATCCATGAATGGTCAAGTAAGCCACTAATAAAAGAGCAGCAGTTTTATAGATATGTTACTGGAGTGATAGCAGATAGAAAGATGACCCATAACAAGAGAATAATGTACACTCTTACTACATGGAATATTCTAACCTCACTTCAAATTTTGTGACAGATAAGCCATCTCAGAACCACCTTTCCTTAACAGAGGAATTTATGATACATAAATACACAGAAAAGAAACATTAATGAGGTGTTAGATTCATAAGCACCAATAACACAAAAATAATCATGAAATACTATCAGAAAACTTATATATGATGTATGAATGAATATTGTGTGGGTGAAGTCATCAGCTACAACTACGTATACTTGTATTTTAAGTGCAAAGATCTCAATTTGATTCACATCAGGATATCTGCATTCAAAAACTAATCAGACTCAGGTAGACAGAATAACAACAGTTTAGCCTCATGGACCTCTTTGGTAATTTAACATATTGAGTGTCAGTGATAACTGCATATATCCTTATTTAGAGCAAACTGCACAAAAGTACAATTAAAGACAAGGGGGGGAGTAAAAAAAAAAAAAGAGGAAATCAAACCCACATTCTGCTCTGCCAACCTTTTCAGAAGGTTCAGAGCAACTACAGAACTACAATAAATAACATGACTGATATTAAGAGTCATCCTGGGTAACCCAAAATTCTCTACAGTGAACCAATTATGAGCAGTATTGCCTTTGCCTTACAGATGGCAAATGGAAAGAGAGTAAGTACAGTACAGATCTGCTGTTTCAAAGTAAGAAATATGACCATGATTATACAAAGAGAAAGACAACTCAATTTTGCCAAGCATTCTCAGGAATACACATTATTTGCTAATAGTTATCAACACTTCTCATCATTCTCACCTTTTATCTCTACGCTGAGCATAGAACATTCTATAGTAGCAAAGCACAATAATTTTGAAAATGCAACATAAATAAAAGGTAATTTAGCAGCAATTAGAAAACATAACCTATTTATCTCTAAATTATAGAAAATATCAGAAGCCATTCACTAGTGTCATAAATTGTTTGATCACCACATTTTAGTTGCAGCAAACAGTTTTCTCCCCTGCTCTGCAAAATAAAATCAGCTTTCTCACACCCCTGAATGATTAATCCTAAATTCATCCATATTTATTACTGAGACAATTTTCTATATCATAATAAACACAGCATTAAGTACACATATTGAGCAAGCATTTCCAGAGCATTTATAGGTATTCTTTGCTTCAGAATTCCATTTCATTAAGATCAGATTTTTAATGGAGATTTTTTTGATGTGCTAGTTTTGTTGATGGGAGCCCTGAGACTTTATATTTTATATATATATATAGTATACAAACACTTCTAGTTGAATAGTTTTCTTGTATATGATTTCAGTATATTTCTTTCCTTAACTACTCATTACTGACCCCTGTTATCATTTGACATCTCTAGAACAAGCTCGAATTGCAACAAGCCAAATTTTCAGAAGTATATCTCAATGAGATCAATATTCACGTGTAAATAACCACATCCAGTGATAGCTGTTGCTATGTATATAGTGACACTAAGCATAAAAAGTGTGGTATTTAACAGCTCAAAGAAATTTTCAGTTAATTTTTGAAAGTCAGGACTTTATGCTCATGAAATACAACTGGTGATAAGCTTTCTCTCATTTTGTATTTAGCTCAAATTCCTTAAGCTAAGTCTACGGATCAATATTCTTAATTACTAAGTGTTAAGAGTTAAGTTTTAAAAGGCTAGATATACTACATACAAACAGAACACTTGAAAAGTTATAGTTAAAAGCATCGCGCTTTCCACCAGGGTGCAAAGATTTGAATAGAATACTAAGTAGTTGCACAAAATAAAGACAAAAAAAACTACACATTACTGTTTCACCATTTAGGATCACTCTGCACAAGAAGATAAATTAATTCTGTTTCTTATAACAACCACAAGATATTTAGGAGAAAACAAACAGGATAAAATGAGTAAGAAATGTCAAAAGAATTGAAAAGAAGAAGGTTAGAACTAGCACCTTTAGCTTTGATCCATGAGGCACAGGAGAAAAACCATCTTGTCCAGGTGGAATGAACAACTCCCATTTCCCATATTCCATTTTCTTATATGGATGGGAAAACGGATTCCAGCCATCTATAACAAGAAAATCGATTTAAGTGTATTTATCTTAATATATGCCCAATTAAAATTCAAAGTCATAACCATATTTTCCATCTTTTCCAGAATACATTTCTTTTTCAGCAAATACAAATACTTTTAAATCAGCTACTACTGCACACTTCCTTTAGGAGAGGTTCAATATGATGTTCACTGGGAAAACATACTCCAATTCTACTATGACAATTTCTGATTACAGAAAAGGAAAAAAAGATTCTTGGACAAAATAAAAGCCATCTCCATAAACCATATGCTTAAACCAACTCTGGATACGGATATGCATACTTATAATTGCTTTTGTTTTGACTAACTGATGTCCTTAATAACACGAAGTATATAAACTAGGAGAATGAGGAAGAAGCAGACAAACCTGGCAATGGCCACAAAACCACTTAAACACTTCGTAACAGCTAAGAACTTTAGCCAGAAATGCTACAGTTATGATTAATTAAATTTTGAAGAGGGTTCCTTTTCATTAAAAAAGGCAGAAAAAAAAACACAAAACACTTTTACTGAACCAAGCTTAGATTATATAATTCAAGATTCTTCATACTGTTTTGACTCACTGATTCTGGAGAGGTACGAGGTTAGTCATGATGACATGCTTAACTGAATAAATGCCTGCCAAGAAAATTGTGTGCGTTTCTATAGATGTTCAAGGTTAATTCTTATGAATGCAACTAAATATAAAGCTTCTGAACTGACTAACACAGGCAATGTAACTATTTCTGAACTAGAAGAAAGTGGCAAGCCAGGTTTTAAAATGACTTCTTATTTTTGTCTTGAAACTTGTCCACTTCCCACAGCAACAGTGAATCTTATGTTAAAAGGAAACAGAAAACTGAATTGCATGACATAATTTCCTTCTTGATGATCTATTTGTGTATTTCCTGCAGTAAAATGACAGGCGGTTTTCATCTCAAGTACAGAAGCATAAGCAGTCTTCTGCAAGCTCCTATGTATATTAATTACATAAAAGATCTTAAGTACATATACTAACAGCTGATAAATGCTATGTTCACATCCTCAGCTGTAGTTCTGTTATTTAAGCAAATATAAAACAGTATTTCTACTACACGTTAGTGGTTGAAAGTAATTAAAGAAAAACTAGACTGCAAAACTTATTGCCCTGCTCCAGCAGCAGCAGTTATTTATACTACTTTGAAAACGCTAGCCTACTTGTCTACAGGTTTTGATTGCTTATTTCAATGGAAAACCCAATAGACAGATACACACACACACACATTTTACTTCTTAGTATATAGTAGATGCCAAAGAATGAATTACTTGAATACTTATTCAAAAAAAAAAAAAAAGAAAAAGAAAAGAGTAACACTTAATATCTGACATGATTCAACATTTCACTGTACATAGCTCGGAAAACACAGGGATTAACTGAAATTCATGCTTTCCATTCTCCAATTCAAATACAGATTTGTGTGCCATTCTACCTTTTTCCAGGAGGTATAACACTAGAAGTTATTCCATAAAAAGGATCTCATTCCCTACAAATGTCACAGAAGGAGATTAAAAAAAAAACAAAACCCACACATTCATAATTTGAGCTAAAAGTTCTCAATATCAAAGTTCTTATTGTCTACACTATCAATTTTTACTTGTTTTCTATCCTGAATATAATTAACTTAAAAGGTTAAGTAGTGGGAATTAGTACTTGTGGTGTTTTTTTTTTCTTTCATTTGTTTTTTCTTGTCTTTCAACCAAACACCTAAGAGAGCCACAGATAATTCTCAAGTAAACAATTATGAGAAAACACCATTATCCATTTATCCACAGCAAAACTAAAACCAAGTCATGAATTCTCTTGTTTTTAAATCACATATCATTAAATTTCAGTTTAAAACTGAAGAGCTCCTATTTTAAGATTCATTTGCTTCCTTGTAACAGTTCAACCCATCCTACCTCCAGTAGTTCAATTACTGTTTCCTCTTTATAAACCTGAGCTTTTTTAAAAAAATCTTATTAACAGAAAACCTGATATTCAATTTAAATACAATACGATCATAAATTTAGTTTGAAACTTTAACCTGTTTGAAAAATTGAAGAAAGGTTAAAGGGATTCAGTTTTAATTAAATGCACCTGTAGCAACCTCACTCTAAATCTTAGGGTTTTGCAACTCAATTTCTCATCAGAATATTATTAAAGCCAAATCATCTGAATTGAATGACAATCTTCCATTCCTCTAGGCTGAGTACATTATCTTCCCCTTTGGGAATGAATACTTTACTACCACTGATGATGAATATGATACATAGGACAAATGCATTTTTTTCCACATTAAAGTGAACTTCTTTAGTCTTTTGACTTCTTACTGCCACATTTCATTAACATAGATACAACTATTCTAAAGTTCTAATTCCTAAAATTCTGCTACATGTACTACATGAAATATTTTTTAAATGAAGTAGGTTTGTTCTTGTGAGCTTATTGTTGTTGCTTTGGTTTTTTTGTTTGTTTGTTTTTTTAAAACTGTCTTTCCAGTACCAATACATGTACTTCCCTGCAAACTCCACTCCAAGCCAGTTTACAATTTATATCCTCATTTTAAAATCTTAGGTATTAATTTCATTAAAGTCTGTTTTCAAAATGAAAAAATCTTAGATTGCATTGTTTAATTTAGCCCATTATGTAGAAGCCTAAGATGTAGCTGATGATGTTAGATTGCAAGCAGGAAAGAGAAAAGGAGAATTGTGTTTATAAATGTAAAGTTTAGTTTTTAAAACATGCAGCTGCCTTACAGTCACTATTAACAGCTAGCACCACTGTAATCTAGCAGGAGGTAAACTACAGTCAAGAGTTGTTACTGAGTTTTGGAATCAAAAGATATATCTGATTTTTGTACTAAAATTCACGTGCTATATCAACCTATTTTATCAACATCTATTCAAATTTAAAGAAAAGGACTGTTTGAAGGAAAGCTACCCTGTCATTCATTAGGTCAAATTGTATCACATGGGACCACAGCTGAAAGTACTGTTACACAAACCTGTCTGTTCATCTTCTGCATTAAAGACTTTCCTAAAATCTGTCTAAAATCTCTGTTCCACTGTCTACATGCTCAGATTACAAGAGGGAATAGCAGACACAGACTCTTTAATCAAGTTCTTAAACTAAAACAAAAACAAACAAACAAAATCTGACAATTAAAATAGATACAGTTTAGGACTGTACATAAGTTCCCAGACATCAATCTGAATATTTAACCATTTCTTTTGCATATTCTGTATATCTTATGGCTATTAAAAATAATACTAAAACTAAATACTATGAAATACTGAAAAAAATCTCAAATGTATCTGAAAAGTACTGTGATGGTAATCTAAATTTCTTTCTAACAGTGCACATTTTAGTACAAAGGCTTAACTGCTCTACCACCAGATACTACAGCTAACTGTATAGGTAAAGAGTCTTACCATTTTAATTTTTTTTTATATTCTATGTAACTTTAAGAGTTGAATTAGTATTGCAGGATTTAAGAGCAAAAATGCACCTGACTTGCATTTAAGAGTTTGCATAACATGACCTAAGTGTAGCTAGCCTTCTGGCAAAGGAGAAAATTTATGATTTTGTCTCAAGCTTTAAGTTAAGTAAATCCATGTCTTCCCCGTTCTCAAACTAAGCAATACAGTTCCTCTCACCACCTTCTTGTTCTGCCAACACCACTCCTTCTTTCCCCAGAAGAGAATAGTACTTTTTCATGTGTATGTTCACTCAGGATTTGATATTACCATTTTGAAGCAGTACTTGTTTCTACACTCTTGTGATTAGTTAGAATCACGAAGAGCCTTGGTTCTTAGGCAATGCTGCTGTTAGATTAGTAGAGAAGATAAATCAGGTTATTTCACTATTATTTTCTCCTTCCCTTCACACAATATTACAAAAGCCTAACTGTATATCTTCAGGAAAGTTATCAGGTAGTTCAGGCATATTCAGCTAATGCTGCACTGTGATCAGGTTAGAGTCTTTAGAGAAGTCATTTTATGGATATAAAAATAGAAATATATAATTCTGATACATAATACTGAATTCAATAGACATGCACACATTATTAAGTTACTCTAATATGGAAGACTATTTAAGTTACTAAATGTCACTACACTAGCAACACATAACATGTATTTTTGCTATCAGAATTTAATGTTTGCCACAGCGCTGTTTTTAAGTGAAAAGGACACTGATCTAAAACACAGTGCAAGGGAGAGGAAATGTTCCTGAAATACTTACTGAAATCACCTGTGAGAAACACTGCTTCTGCACCTGGTGCCCACTCTTTGCAATATACTCCACCATCCACAAATTGGTTAACTCCAAAAGATTTGTAACTTTTTGAAAATTTATTAAGACCTCCTTCGTTCTCGTCAATGCTCTTCAAACGTTTATAAAACAGAGCATACCTTTCAAAAAAAAAAAACACAAATAAATGTTAGAATAACTGAGACATTTCTCTTTACAGAAATAGAAAATAACTATCAAACCACAATTTTTTATGGTTGCAAACCAGAGAAAAGTTGCAATTTCCACGTCTGTTTTCCCTACTTCACATGATGTCCTTGCACTTTAAGTCTAAATCTACAGCTCCTGATTGGCAGTCCAAAAATCACGGTATTACAACACAACAGGAGAAATTTACTCTGAACAGCTTAACACTTTTTCATCTATCTTATTAATACTGAGCAAGGGCATCATAGAGAGAATTGCATAGGCCTGGTACATCTACCACAACCAATTTTAATAGACAAACTCTGAATACTGAAAAATCTGCAATACAACATGCAGCAAGCATGGAGGAAATAATCTGCCGCTGCTTAACCGATTTATCTAGAAAGGTCATCAGCAAAACTTCGTAGTCCTCTGCCACTGGAACTAGTTGGCAAGAAGTATATACAATTACTTACACACGCAGTCAAACTTTATGGAAGTAATTATTTTGCACTGTCCTCTACTTACCCCTGTTAGGGCTAGAAATGCAATAAGCCTCTAATGTAAAGTTTGATATTAACAGCTTGGAGTTCTCCTGACAGACATTCCCAGCAATTCAGAGACACACAATAGGCAGATGCTACACAAAGAAAACAGTTAGATTTGCTCCCCAAAGTGTGAGCTACTATGTGAAGAGGCATGGCTAAAAAACCTCCATTGAGGATTTTATTAATGCTATCTGCAAGGTTATTTTATTTGCAATTTAGAAATGTACCAGTGTTCTTCATAAATGGAAAGGAGGCTTCTGAAATGTATAAAGACTGGAAAGAATTGAAGCAAAACCAACTCGTCTGCCTCATTAAACTTACTGTATTTTGAAAAAGGAAAAATAAACAGTAAAAAAAGCTAACAACATTATAGTATTACACTTCGTTGGTTTAGAAGAAAAAAGAAAAGAGTTATTCTGCCTGTAATATTAGGACTGGTGCACTACTCTCAGGTTTGTTTTAAAGTTTTGTTTCAGAATTGGTCTTCATTAGTTCAAAGTAAGGGATCAAAATGTCAATTTACTGGTTAAACAGGATAACATTAATTTTGAGTACTATGACCACTTTCAAGGTTAATCTCACAGCAGGTTCGTATTACAAAGACTGATGTTCACATTTAAAAGCAGCAAGATTAAAAAAATGCCTCAGGATTCACTACAGAAAAAAAAATTTATAACGTTACCCATCTACCTGCACCATTCCTTTAAATTTACTTATGAATCTAATCCTCAGAAACACATTGCAAACGACTACTCTGGTAATCAATTTCATTTACACTGCTTAAAGGAGAATATTTTGTCAGATTTTCAGATGTAAGTGTATAACCTATATACACACATCCAGCTGACTTAATTAAATTTTAATCAATTGCAATCATAGAAATATTTATATCAATAAATAAAATGAAAGTTAAATACAGAAACAGAACAAGCAACTAGAACTGCCTCAAAAGTTCATCATATGGCATTTGGTAACAGAAACATTATTCCCTACTGAAAGCTTCTAATTGAAAAGTAAATGTATACTGATTTGCTTAGCTTGGGGAAGGAGTGTAGTTTTTTTATTGTTTTATTTAAAGCTACTCTTTAAAATATAGTAGTTAAACAAGAGCATAGTGCTTGTGACAGAGCAAGTTCATTCTGACAACTGCTGTGCCATCATTATAGAAATTATGATAATTGAAACAACTAGTGCCCTCTGTGTTTGTTTTACATGATATTCTAGAAAGCATTCAGTTTTAATTCTGTCAGTGACCTCCTGAAGTGATCAAATATAGGACTATGGGTTGTTTGAAGTTCATGAAAAAGCCACAGGCTTCTAAAATGGATCAATTACTTGTGCTGTGAACTATTCTGAAAAACTCATCTCAGGAGACAAAACGCATCTGGCCACAAAACAAAGTTATCTTCCCTTGAAGGTCCTGTAAATCAGAACAAAAGTGTATTTCTCTCTACTATAAAGGAGAGGATTCATTTAAGAGCGTTCTTATAATCCAGGTATAGCAATCTTAAAGTTTTGCTTTCACAGGATCTTCTTTCATTTCTACATCACTGAAACATTTTCATCTTTCAGACTGAAAGCCCAGAATCACACAAAGAAAAAGACAGGAAAACCTTTTGTTTGAGCCATTCCAAAGGTTGAAATGTTCATTCATGGCACACAAGCAAAAAGCAGTGGATATCTATCTGATCATCACATTTAGCAATCTCCTCTGAACACTATATGTTACCATCGGCAGACATGCACACAAATTTATATGACATATGTAGCTATACAGACTACAACTAGACTAAAGGGAACAATCTGAAGGTGAGAGAATCTTGCAAAATTCTGGACATGTGACAGGAATTGCCAGCAGCATTCAAAGCTAGAAGCCAGGATTAGAAGCCAAGTTCTGCATTCCACCTCTTAAACCTTTATGCCTTCACAAGCAATTGCAAAGTCTCTTCAGATTATTCTACTTCCTTATATTGAAGTTGACACTGAAAAGATATACCATACCTAAGTATGGTTTTAACATTGTGATACTTCAAAAAGTACAACTGTTACCTTTGTGACAAAAATAAAAAATATGAGAAAAAAAAAGTTACAAAAAGATCCACATATTTTCAGGGCTCTGGTCAGAGGTAAGTGGAAGACACATGCTAGCTCCCTTACTACAGGGTCAGAGATGATGAACACACCAAGTACAGCTGGCCAGGACTGCTGTGGTGCATTTCTTGCTCCAGGAATTCTTATGAAAAAGCAAGCTCATGCACTAGGATGGGATCATAGGACCACACCAAAGGCTATTTCAATTCAAATCCCAAAGGCTCTCAACTCATCTCCATTAACGGGCCAATGAGTTTTAAGCTAAAATATCAAAAAAATCAGTGTTTTTCTCCAGACTCACTGGAAACAAAGATTCAGACTGGCATTACTACACATTCAACCAACATAAAACACTACATTTGGTAACAGACTAGCACTTTCACACCAGCACTCTTGCATCTCTCCTCTGGTATTTCACAGTGAAGTATAAGTAATCATAAACATAACTTGAAACAGTGTCACAAAAATCTTCTGAGGCTGTTATATTCATGGTTTTTGAAACACTGTTGCTTGATTCCTATGCTTTATATGCAGCTTTGTTTGGAACCATACAATGGGAATGAAAGAATTGGCACAGAAGTAGGATTAAAACCCCGAAATATGATATTGCATAGTGGCTATCCAGAAAATAGGTGCCTTGCCAGTAACACGCTTCATAGAGAATAAAGATGAATGAAAATTTTAAAGATGACATTAACTCAGGCCATTTTAAGGAGTTGTATTTCATACAAGCAGCTGTCATTTCAAAAGACTCAAATATTTTGCCTTTCAATTACTTGTAAACCTAAAGTTATGTAGTGGAAGTACATAGATGTTAGAGAACAGGGTGACTCAAAGCTTTTCAGTTCAATGCAAAGCTAGACAGCTCTTCCTCTAAGAAATAAATGTTCTAGTATTCTGTAGCTGTGATACTTCAATTCCTATCATCATTGACTTAAGTCAACTAGCTAATCCCATTAAAAATGAGAAAAAGACATTTAAAATAGTAATTTCATTATTGCAAAATAAATAAAATTTAAGATTCCTCCTTCCCAAACTTAACTGTCTCAGTGAAATATGACTTTTTGCAGAATATTGAAGAAGTTTGATGGCAAGTCATAATGATGAATTACGTCTCCACATAAAGCCCTCAGACCTCTAACTTTTAAAACAATTGGAGGATTCTACTTCCCTCTAGCTACCTTGTATTATAAAATTTTAAACCTCTGTATTTACACTGAATTTCTCAGGTCTCATAGGAATCTAAACAGAAACTAATATAACCAAAGAGGTCTTGGCAGCATACATAATAACCTCATTTAATCACCATGGTGCTGCACTCTAACATGGCTGCATAATTTCAGAACATTTTTATGCCCACTCTTGCACCTTTTTAGGAAGTCATAATTATTGCAGTTTACAGAGTAGTCAATCAGCCTATTTTAAGACCTGTAGTGTCACCGCTGACATTAATCATTTTCATCCCTCTTCTGCTTATGATGTTCACATTTCAGTAGCTATTCATATTTTTAGATTTTTTTTTTGTCCACATTAGTTTTTGTGCCATAATTTATTTCCACAATATTGGCCCAATATTAATGCAAATTTATTCAAAACATGAAAGCAAATAGGAGAGGCTTTGATGATGATATCTGGCATCCATATGGATAGCCCAATTCTGCAGACACCAAAGGGAAAAGGATATGAAAAAAACACGCAGTGAGGTATTCTCTGTAACCAAATCCACTCATTTTCCAACAAATAAAAACACTTGCAGGAATGTCAGTGTTAAAAATAAAGATAGAGCCAAAAGGAAATAAAATAAAACTCAACTATTTCAGTCTGTTATATTTCTTTTCATTTCTTCTAATGTAGGTATTGTGTCAACGGTTTATGGGCTGGTTTGGCCTGGTTCTATGACTAGCAGGGCAGAGGGATCTGCAGATCCACGCCTCCAGAAAGGGGAAACAGGGGACCCTGAATAATTAAAAAACAGTGGCAACAATCTGAGGAGAAACAGACTAATTTACTAAATACGGTATCACAATGCGAGATAACACTATAATACAATATAATTAAAATTGAAACTAATATATCAAATATAATGAGAGAGCATCTGAAAGCTGTAGGCCTTATGCTAGTACTGAAGCAATGTGTGCAGCTGGGACAAGCAGCAGTGAGGAGAGGTTGACAATTGAAAAAAGGAATGTCAGATGACCTACCAAAGCCTTACATCTATTCCCCCTGAGCAGAAATGATAACAGCACAGCTAACAGTCTTCTGTAGTTCTTGACAGGTACCTGGAACTGGAGCATTAACACTAACTCCAAGTGCACTACGTGATGCTAAGATGGGGA